GAACCTGCGCTCGCAACGCGAAATGTCTGGGCTCCCCTTATCACTGCCCCAACCTGATAACCGGAGCTGTCTTCATCTCCTAACTCGTCACGCCGACATTCAACCTATCCTATCTCTAGACTCTAGACCTTCTTTGCTGCCGGGGCCTGTGCCCGAAAGCGAAGGGCGACCCGGACATATATTGTGGCGAAAGCAAAAGCCGAACAGTAAACACATACATGCTCAGCATATGACATGGCAGCGATCATGGCAAAGATAAGGATAACCATCACTCATAGAAGCAATGCAGTGGTGATACTTCGCGGGTTTAAGCGGTAAGACATGAAAGAGGCTTTTGGCTTCAAGCTACGACGGCTTCGACAGTGCACAACAAGGACTGCACAGTAGTATCCCGCCCTGGATACAGTGTGGCAGCTCCGGCATACCGTCGCAACTTCTTCGCTCATGCGCATCGCAGGCACAAGCATGCAAAACGTTCTCGCTAGCAAGCCAATCCGTCGGTGACACTTTAGCGCTTCGGGTTTAAGGGGTTAAGGGCTTAGAAGCATGAAGAAGACATCAAGGAATATCGCCCAAGGGCACAAATTATAGCTCAGATCACTCCGATTCCCAAACACCAGCCGCTCTAAGCTTCGCACACCGACTTGTCTTGAAGAAACTTGCGGCCCACGTCCCGCACCTTTCGGCTGCAGGCCGGGGCCAATAAGGAGTCGTGCGTGGGAATAAGTCTCGGTGTCTCGGTCTTCCTTTGTAAAGCTAAAACCATTCAATGGTCTGAAGACTGAGCTTTGTTCCCAATCAACTCTTGATCGAATCTAAAGCCCTCTTAGGGCTCTTGGTGTCGCTGGTAAATCGAAGGTGCTAGGATCCTAAACCCTAAACCCTAGCCACTATGTAGGACAATAGAATGTGTGACTTTTGCAGTCAGATCACGCCTTGGAAACTGAAGGCCTCTTGAGGGTTTCATGTAATCGGTTTAGGGCTTTAAGGCCTTAGGTCTATGAGTTTCGAAGCTTTAGTCTTGAGCATGCGGGTTCAGCGTTTTGGGCGGCAGGACAGTAATGATCCACAGGGCCTCTTGGGGATTTGAGCTCTGGCGCATGGTTTCAGGTTCCACATGCAAAAGTTTGAGGTCGAGAATGGTTTGGAATTGATGCTCATTTTGGCCTCCCGCCTTGCCGAGACGAAGCTGCGATTCAGGGTGATGGCTACTTGCAACCTCGAAAATCTGTCTAATGCTTGGGTGTTGTAGGGTCTGCTAGGCCTCAGCAGCTGATGAATGTAGAGCTCAGCTACAAGAACTGTTCGCGGTAGCTGCTTCGGGCCTTCTAGGAGTTTCCAAGAGCACTATACCGACCCCGTAAAACCCTAAACTCCTATAGAGGCCCCAAACAATATAAACCCCAAAACCATATAACCTGCCAGGGCACCGTCTTGTCGATGTCGCGGACGACGTAGGACCACGCTGTTTGCAAAAAGCTGGGAAGAGCATCCTCCATCGCCGCCTCCACCTCGCGGACCCCAGAGAGCCCAAGATCCTTTAATTAAGGAATATACCTTAAATCATAATTTGGGGGCCCCTATAATTTAAGGTATATTCCTTAATTAAGGGGTATTGGGCTCTCTGGGAAGTCTTCATCTACTTGGGGGTTATAAGTATGGTTATGGGGCTCCTTTAAGGGTTCCTTTAAAGGGTTCTGGACGGCTTTTAGGGTTTAGGGTTTAGGGGTAGTTATAAGTATGGTTATAAGTCCCCTAACATGGGTTATAATTATAGCTACCCTTCTTATAACCCCATTTATAACTACCCACGAACCTCCAAGTGGGGGCCCTCATAAATTAGAACAGTGTGCCTGGAGAGGGTTCTGTTGTAAAAAGGGCTACGGCTACTGAGGGTTGTGTGGCATCGGGGCTTTGATATAGGTTCCTGAAACGGGCTCTATAACGGCTGACTTTAAGGGCTTAAACAAGGTTGAATATACCCAGAGGCCCCTAAGTAGTTCCTTTTGGGGATTACCTTATAGGATTCTAAATATAAACCATAAAAAGGAACTACTTAGGGGCCTATGGGTAGGCTTTTAAAGGTACGAGTAGGAGTTCCTGTTCATGTTCTTCCAAGGCTTACCAAAAGGTTTCTATATCGCAGCGGCCCTCACCCCTAGAATCTGGTATAGGTATGTGCTGTTATGTATAAGTCTTAAGTGGGGTTAGTTAAAGTGATATGATTAGTAATTCGTCCGACCTCGTACTGGACATCGGAGCAATGAAGGAAAGCTGAGATGTTTATCTTACTGGTTGTAATCTTGCTGTTGCTGTTTCTGCTGTTGCTACCACATACTACTTCCGCTGTACTGATGCACTGATGTAATGCTACAGGATTGCTGCCATACTCTTGCTACTACCATGCACTACCACTACCGCCAAAGAGGCCATTACCACTGTGACGACGATAACGACGACTACGACGACGACGACTATTACTGCTACCACCGGCGTCTTAGTAACCACGGCAAAGCGTCACAGCCGTGGTTAGGAGCAAGAGGAGGAAGATGGGCAACAGCAGGCTGCTGTTGTGTTGCTGCAGAAGTGGAAGTACTTCTAAAGCCCCAACCTGAAACCGTGACACTGAGCCTCAAACTCATCAATAAAACCCTAAACCCTGAACCTGAAACCGTGGACCCTAAACCCTAAACCCGGGCCGGGCTGACCTCTTGGGCTTGTTCCTCCGGAACGGCAGCATCGCCTCCCCACGTGGCGGGAAGCTGTTTTTTGCGCGTTCGTGGTTCATGTTTTTGGGGGGTTTAGGGCTTTATAGGTTTGGACGGTTGCAACTCGCTGTAGGTGGAGAAGAGGAAAGACCGGTCATAGTAAAGGTGAGTGAAGTTAGGGAGCCTTACCTGACAGGCGGAAACATATTCTATGTACCACTCACGTGGGGGTTTCCGAAAAAATACGGGTAACTTATTTTGGGGTCCTTATATATAATAAGGATCCTACTATTTAGGGTACTATATTAGGGTCCCCTATTTTCGGAAACCCCCACATGTTTACTAGTCATGTTCTTATGGCCACTATGACTTTTGTGAACCCCAGCGCTATGATAGAGGCTGTAAGCGACGCGTGGTTGCAGTTATGGGGGTTATACAAACGAATAGTGATGCTTTACGTGCTGTGTTCCTTGCAGGTTACTCAACAATGCCGATACAAGGCCTCAGGGCTAAACGAGGAACGAAAAGATAGACTTGACCTTCTACGGGTCCGGATGTGTCGGGGAGGTTGGTCGGAAGAACTCCTCCAATGCGGGGCATACCGCATTACTTGCCCCTCTTACTCATCAAATTTTCATTAGCTACAGGGCTGGGTTCCATGTTCTATTGGGCTGCACCTGGGGAAAGAAGCGTGTTTGGACTCAGATCAACCCGTCTCAAAAAAAGATGTGCCAAGCATAGGAAGCACCTACGAAACGACCTCAGGCTTGCAGGGGAGTGAGAGCAGAAAGGAGTGAATGAGGGCCCATGGTTGCAAAACCGGAATCATACTCGCACCGAGCACTCCGATGACGAAACTGCCCAAATGGTATGACAAACATTCATGATCAAAGACTGACTTGAGATACCACCCTCCACCCAACAACTTAAAAGAGGAGCCTCAGCCCGTTGTCCTTCATCCTAGACTCGACGCCTTCATATGGGAGTGTGTATTATAAGTATTAGGCATGGGCGATGATTACTTCGAGGATGGCGACTTCCTTCCGATGCCGGGTTCGGGGGGGGTAAGTACGAGGATACTATTACCAAGAATTTCAACGTCCACATTCGTTAGGGCGCCGAGGACATACTGTAGATATTATAAGAAGGACAGCTCAGGAATACTAATCTTCATAGTTCCCCCCCCCCCACTACTTACTGTACTCCAGTTAGGCGTATCCTGCTCGTGGTGCTACAGATGACCTTCTTCCTTGTAAAGTCCAGCTCGAACCCTGAAACCTGCTCTACTACACTGGTCCTTGGAGCACCCTCGGCCAAACTTGAACAACATATGTCAACATGTCTGGATACCCCGTTGGGTTTGTGTTAACACTGAAAACATAACTAGAGAACGATTCCTGCAGAACAGCCAGGAAAGAATACACAACCAAACTACCTGACCCATCTCCATCTACCCTCTATTGGGCCCTAAATGCGCATTATTCAGGGCCATATACCTCTATTCGACGAGGGTACAAGCTAAACTAAACTAAACCCTGAACCCTAAACCGTAAACCAAACTCAACTAAACAAAACCCAACACCCAAACAAAAAAGGATCCCTCGGCCTGCGTCTGCTGACGGCTCGCCTTCCTTCTCCTTCGGAATCTTGGTAGCTGCACTGTAGACCTGCGGCTAGGGGTTAGGGTTGAGGGATGTCGGGATTCCCGTTTATGTGGGGTTTTACGGGGCGTTAAGGTTCAGGATTTGGGCAAACCATAACCATAACGAAATCAAGCCAAACTAGTCGTGGGATACCGCGTTTCATGCTTCTGCCTAGCTGATCGGCTGTGTCATGCAGGTAGGTGGAGCCGTCTGGGCCCGAGGGGTGGACATGGGGACTATTTCACCCCATACAGGGTCCTGCTTCCACCCTTCCTTTTATAGCAGAGTGCTCCCTCTTGGAGAAACCAACAACCCTAAACCGAGTAACTGGAGGAGTGCATTCCTGCATTGCTTTCCGTCCGAGGCTTTTTTCGATTCATGCCCATCTCGCGGCTATTGCGCGGCGACCGGTGCCTCTCAGAATGCTGCACATGTAATCGGCTACAGCCGTAGTCATCAGATCTCTGACAACAACTTTGCCTCATTCGACCCCAATTTGCTGGGCCAGTTGCTGGATCCATTCGGGGACCGGTCCGGTTAATTCCTCCTTCTACCCTCAAACAGGGGTAGATGGGCCCTAACAGAATTTAGGGTCTAAATAGAGGGTCGAAGGAGGATCGAGGAAGGCTTCTGGCATTTTCATCCGAAGCTACAGCATTGGATATGTCCTCTTGCCTATGCCTCTGGCTTGAGCACCCACATCCAGGCTTTTGGAGATGTTCTCGGTTGTACTTGCTGATGTGTTGTTTCCAGAACTTTTGGCATTTGCCTCTGTTTTCGTAGTGTTTGAAAGGACATCTGCTCCACTGGCCGATGTCGTGTTGCGCCTGCTTCCGGCTTTCTCCGCCACATACTTGGTGTTGGAAGCATTCTCGGCCGCACTGCCTGATGTGCTGTTTCCAAACTTCTCCTGCTCGGCCGCGGCGACGGAGGCATTGCTGATCGAGCTGACTGAACGCTTGGAAATGCACAGCGGTAGCTTACACCAGGAGGCAGGAACCTTAATCAATGGCCCGTCGTCAGTCTCGTCGTCATCCTCGTTGTCGCCATCCTCCTCATCCTCATCCTCGTCCTCCTCTGCTGCCTCGCGTGTGGCGTTGGCAGAGCAGTCGCCGGGACAGAAGCAGGTCCCAGTGAGAGAGATTCGACAGCCAAGCCTGCAGCGCAGAGACTTCCCTCGAACTCAAAAAGTCGAGACCCTAAATAAGTAAAACAGGATTTAGAACAGGATTTGGTGTATAGTACGGTATAGTTAAACCATACGGAATAGTCTTGGCCAGTATTTCGGCTTCTAAGTCTATAGTCTCAGTAGAACTCCAACGTTGCAGCAGCAACCCGGCACTGGCAGGTCCCACAACCGTACGACTAAGTGAACCTGTCAATCCAAGGCTCCATGCTATGGTCTCTTGAAGCTACAGACTTTACGGAGCCCAAAGCCAGCACTGCATGCAAGACTTCAGTGATAATTGTGATGCTGCCATGGTACGGGTTGCCGGTCAGAAGAAGGTTGTCCAAGTCCTCTACTCCCGCAAAAGATTCCTGAGCTGCGATTTCGACTCTAGGGTAGAGAGTGAGGATAAGTAAGAAGCACGGACTCAATGTCTATATAGAGATTAAGGGAGAGGAGTCGTATTAAACCCGCACCCCCGCCCAATCCCGCCTCCTCATTCCCGATCCAACCCCACTTGCTTCTCCCCTGGCCTATGATCTCCAACTCTGCCTCCTGAGCGTAGAGTCCTAAGTTGCTTAACCTAGTCAAAGGAGATGCTATAGTTCATCTTCTTTTACCACTGCCACTGCTACTGGCACCACCACCGCCGCCACCGCCACCGCCAGCACCTCCTCTATACTCCTGCTATCAGACTATCAACCCCGCATGGAATGGCGCGTTCCTCCTGAAACCTGTCCCACATTCTCCGGCCCTCCCGTGCTGCCATCTTTCGGGATCCAGCATCTCTAAGCCGTTCTCGCTCAAGTCCAGCCAGTCCAGATCCGCAAATCCACCAAAGAACGCGTCTCCGAGAGAGCCTTCAATCTAGAGGGGGGGAGGCCCTCCTTTGGTTCTTAAGCGGCAACTACTAAGGTTCTGTAGGTCATAGGGGCCTTAGAAACCTTTGATTAAGGAGTCTCCAGCGGTTAGTATTTAATAAGGGTTGCTAGAACGGTTACATATAAAAAGGGCCTTGATGATTAGCATCATCAGGTTCTTTAACAGGCCATAGAGAGGAGCGGGATTCCTGAGAGGATTTTTCCAGGCGGTTACTTTCATGGTGAAGGTATGGGGTTCAGCTTCAGCTTTGTAAGACTTTCACATGCGATTGCCCGTTCTGCTGATAATCTGGGCTGGGACGGCTGGGAAGGCCTAACACACCGGAACATATACTCCTCTATTGCCTCAGCCCCAACCGACAAGGATGCTTCAAGTTTCGAGCGCTTAGACTCAAACGGCTTAGCCGAAGACTGTGTCATGGTCCGAGTTCTGCTTGCTGTGCCATGCTGCTCACGCTTGAAGCTTGAGCCCACGAAAAAACTCCCATCTGGTGTCGAGCTCGCCAGGACCCTAAACCCTATAACCCCAAGCCCTGCAGAATAGTAGGCTATCTTTTAAAATTTTTCATACCCAGGTCATTCTTCAAACCAGGTGGCTGATCCGGTTATGAGCGACCGTCAGGTAGCTAAGGACATTGGACTCGGGCAGCCACTCGCCGGAGCTGGGCAAGTCATTGAGTTTGTTCCTGCTCAGGTCAAGATGCACCACCTGGCACCGCCAAGGATTTGCGACAACGGGACAGATGGCAGAGGCTTCGTGCCGCTACCAGGGCACTTATGTAAAACCGCCGACGAATACCAACATAGAAACCAAGGAACCTCAAAATGTACCTGATGGGCCTGTTCTTGCCAGTGGAGCTGACGCATCTCATAAGACCTAAACAGTAGTCTCAGCCCAACCCTTGCATGTACTTAGAGAGTTCTCGTATGGTGCCGTACTATTTTGGGGGGCCTAAACCAGGACCCTAACTTAGAGAACTACCCATGCGCCTCTGGATTTTCGAACAAAGCTCCGGCAGGTATCGACGAGATCGCATTGGAGCTCAGGTCTAACTCCCAGAGGGATTTCAAGCCCGTCATGTTCCTTACTTGTGCCGTTCGTAATACCAAAAAAAAGGTTACGGTCATCAAGGCTGCTTACTTAGTATTAGTGCACCCCAACCTCTGACCCAAACCCTACATCCTAATGCCAAGCCCTTAGGGCTATACCTTTCACCCTAAACCCCGACCACTGAAGCTTGGCCCCTCGACTCCCCTAGTAGACCCCAAAGGCAAAACGCTGACCCACTCAAGGTAATTGCACCCCTTCTAGTCTCCCGCCCTTTAAGTAGGCTTGTTGACCCTAAACCACCTAAACCACTTTCTGTACCCCTTGCAGTACCCCTAAATTAATCCCTATAATCATCCTTCCTGTAGACCGTTTACAAATTCCTAAACAGTTTTTTGCAACCGGGGTTGGGAATTCCCCATACCACGGTTCGGAAACTCCAGGAAGCCGTTGTGGGCGAGCCGGAGGACTGTCAGATTGGGCATGCCGACAAACGCGTCCACCGGAAGCTCCTTGGCACTTGGGTTCAAGGTTTAGGGATCTGGCATCTTTCTGCAAACCCGCTTCATTAGGCATTAGTAGGGTTTAGGGATTGCATGGGGCCTCAGGGATTCATTTGGGGTCAGGGTTTAGTTTAGGGTTTATTGCCCTATAGATCTTATTGAAGATCCTACTTCTTAAAACCTACTCTTCCCACATTTTTGCTCACCGACTTTCTTGAGCAATCTTCGCTTGCCAACAATCTGAATCTTACGAAAGGCCTTACTTCATGTGCGCTGCGGTCCCGGGCGTATGTCATGTTGTTGAAGCGCAGCTACAGGGCTGACTGACACACACATGAGTCTGCTGCTTGTTGGCTATTTGTTGGCGGAGCTGGAGACACCCCGAACCGCCTGTGTTCACGGAAATTCCCATCGAACCCTACCCACTGTGCAATCGGCGGGAAACCCTAAACCCAAGACTGTAAATGCGCACCCATTGACCTGCAGGAGGTTGTCGGACAAGTCCAAGTTTTGTAGCTGAGGACCTGAACTTTGAAGTAACCAGGGGGAAAAGAGTATAGACGTTTCTTTCATAATGGCTCCTTTAAGGAAGAGGTCCCCTAAACATCATGGTTCCTTTAAGGAAGAGGTACCCCTAAACAAAAAGATTCAAGTATACCTAAAGTCTCCATTATAGTTCTTTTTGGGGTTACCTTTTGGGATCCTAAATATAGAATTGGTTAAACCAAAAAGAGGAACTACAATGGAGACTGTAGGTAGTACTC